CATCTGTTCTCCCATGCTATAGGATGGACTCTAGCACATCTTACAGCTGTTCTCCCATGCTGTAAGATGGACTAGCACATCTTACAGCTGTTCTCCCATGCGATAAGACTAGCACATCTTACATCTGTTCTCCCATGCTATAGGATGGACTCTAGCACATCTTACAGCTGTTCTCCCATGCTATAAGATACTAGTACATTTTACAGCTGTTTTCCCCATGCTATAAGATAGAGCCTACCACATCTTACAGCTGTTCTCCCATGCTATAAGATAGAGCCTACCACATCTTACAGCTGTTCTCCCATGCTATAAGATAGAGCCTACCACATCTTACAGCTGTTCTCCCATGCTATAAGATAGAGCCAAGTACATCTTATAGCATGGGAGAAGAGTGTCTTGGTTACTGTGGTGTGCCGGTGAGACTAACCTAACTGTTGACAGTAATTAAGGTTTCAGCTTGGGATGAGGAGATAAAACTCTACGGAGATGGGTAACCTAGTTTAGTTTGATTAATCTCGTATTTTGAGTGTTTGACTGGGTAGTGTTCCAGCTCCAGGGCTACATAAGCTAATTGAAATCTAATTTTAAGGACGGTGAGGGAGGCGTGGTGATGATGGTGAAGGTGTGGTTGTGATGAAGGTGCGGTGATGGTGGTGAGGGAGGTGTGGTTGTGATGAAGGTGCGGTGATGGTGGTGAGGGAGGTGTGGTTGTGATGAAGGTGCGGTGATGGTGGTGAGGGAGGTGTGGTTGTGATGGAGGTGCGGTGATGGTGGTGAGGGAGGTCTGGTTGTGATGGAGGTGCGGTGATGGTGGTGAGGGAGGTCTGGTTGTGATGGAGGTGCGGTGATGGTGGTGAGGGAGGTGTGGTTGTGATGGAGGTGCGGTGATGGTGGTGAGGGAGGTGTGGTTGTGATGGAGGTGCGGTGATGGTGGTGAGGGAGGTGTGGTTGTGATGGAGGTGCGGTGATGGTGGTGAGGGAGGTCTGGTTGTGATGGAGGTGCGGTGATGGTGGTGAGGGAGGTCTGGTTGTGATGGAGGTGCGGTGATGGTGGTGAAGGAGGTGTGGTTGTGATGGAGGTGCGGTGATGGTGGTGAGGGAGGTCTGGTTGTGATGGAGGTGCGGTGATGGTGGTGAGGGAGGTGTGTGGTTGTGATGGAGGTGCGGTGATGGTGGTGAAGGAGGTGTGGTTGTGATGGAGGTGCGGTGATGGTGGTGAGGGAGGTCTGTTGTGATGGAGGTGCGGTGATGGTGGTGAGGGAGGTCTGGTTGTGATGGAGGTGCGGTGATGGTGGTGAGGGAGGTCTGGTTGTGATGGAGGTGCGGTGATGGTGGTGAGGGAGGGCGCCGCCCACACGCCCTTAAAGCTGACCTAACACACTGCGCCCCCTGCCGCCCCCTGCCCAGAAATCGAAAACAATAAAGTAAAACAAACAAGAGAATGAATGCGGGTACAGTAAGTGAGGGTGAGTGCTGACGTAAGTGTGGGAAAGAGAGTGGGGTTGTGTGGATGATGGTGAAGGTGTGGTGATGGTGAAGGTGTGGATGAGGGTGAAGGTGTGATGGTATAGGTGTGATGATGGTGAAGGTGTGGATGAGGGTGAATATATGGGAAGGTGTGTTGAAAGGTGAGAGGGTATTTTTTTGGGTGAAGCTGTGGGTTAGGATGAGGGGTATGGGTGAGGGTATGAGTTAAGACATGGGTGAGGGTGAGGGTATGAGTTAAGACATGGGTGAGGGTGAGGGACATGAGTTAATACATGCGTGAGGGTGAAGGACATGAGTTAAGACATGGGTAAGAGTGAGGGACATGAGATAAGACATGGGTGAGGGTGAAGGATATGAGTTAAGACATGGGTGAGGGTGAGGGACATGAGTTAAGACATGGGCGAGGGTGAGGGACATGAGTTAAGACATGGGTGAGGGACATGAGTTAAGACATGGGTGAGAGTGAGGGACATGAGTTAAGACATGGGTGAGGGTGAGGGACATGAGTTAAGACATGGGTGAGGGTGAGGGACATGAGTTAAGACATGGGTGAGGGTGAGGGACATGAGTTAAGACATGGGTGAGGGTGAGGGACATGAGTTAAGACATGGGTGAGAGTGAGGAACATGAGTTAAGACATGGGTGAGAGTGAGGAACATGAGTTAAGACATGGGTGAGAGTGAGGAACATGAGTTAAGACATGGGTGGAGTGAGGAACATGAGTTAAGACATGGGTGAGAGTGAGGAACATGAGTTAAGACATGGGTGAGAGTGAGGAACGAGTTAAGACATGGGTGAGAGTGAGGAACATGAGTTAAGACATGGGTGAGAGTGAGGAACATGAGTTAAGACATGGGTGAGGGTGAGGGACATGAGTTAAGACATGGGTGAGAGTGAGGAACATGAGTTAAGACATGGGTGAGGGTGTAAGCAACATAATTCCACTTAAATATATGAACCTACTAGATTTTAATACATTAAAAGTTTAAAACCAATAATAAGAGGACTCATTAGGGGAGAGAACAATCAACAGGTTAGAGCTGGAGCCTCTATAGCACAGGTTAGACCTGAATATCCTCTAAATTGTTTAGTCTGTTGACTACACCAGGATGGTATAATAGGCTTCAAGCCTATTGATTACACTAGGATGATTTAATAGGCTTCAAGCCTATTGATTACACTAGGATGATTTAATAGGCTTCAAGCCTATTGATTACACCAGGATGATTTAATAGGCTTCAAGCCTATTGATTACACCAGGATGATTTAATAGGCTTCAAGCCTATTGATTACACCAGGATGATTTAATAGGCTTCAAGCCTATTGATTACACTAGGATGATTTAATAGGCTTCAAGCCTATTGATTACACCAGGATGATTTAATAGGCTTGAATTCAAGCCTATTGATTACACCAGGATGATTTAATAGGCTTCAAGCCTATTGATTACACTAGGATGATTTAATAGGCTTCAACCCTATTGATTACACCAGGATGATTTAATAGGCTTCAAGCCTATTGATTACACCAGGATGATTTAATAGGCTTCAAGTCTATTGATTACACTAGGATGATTTAATAGGCTTCAAGCCTATTGATTACACCAGGATGATTTAATAGGCTTCAAGCCTATTGATTACACCAGGATGATTTAATAGGCTTCAAGCCTATTGATTACACCAGGATGATTTAATAGGCTTCAAGCCTATTGATTACACTAGGATGATTTAATAGGCTTCAAGCCTATTGATTACACCAGGATGATTTAATAGGCTTCAAGCCTATTGATTACACCAGGATGATTTAATAGGCTTCAAGGCAAGTCATTAAGCCTACATGTATGCCACGTTTAACCAAGAAATAAAAAATAAGAAATAAGAGCACTCCTCAATGTTTGGTTAATATAATGGCTCGGACTGTGTCAATAACAGTAGCAATAATAATAATAATAATAATAATAATAATAATAATAATAATAATAATAATAATAATAATAATAATAATAATAATGATAATAATAATAATAATAATAATAATAATAATAATAATAATAATAATAATAATAATAATAATAATAATAAACACCAGTCACTTAACTGTTAAGCTGTGGCACAGGTGCTAAAGCTTGAAGTTCTCAAACCAAATTAGGTAATTACAGGCACGCACATGTGCACACGCGCGCGCAGACACACACGCACACACACACACACACACTCACACACACACACACACACACACACACACACACCACACACACACACACACACACACACACACACTCACACACACACACACACACACACACACACAAGAGGCGGGGCCAGGAGCTATGAATCGACCCCTACAACCACAATTAGGTGAGTACTTCTTGAATTTAACTATCTATATTCTTTCTTGTCTCCCTACTGTTTTCACTATCATACAGCTACTCCCTCTTTAACTCGTGTTCTCTCATATACACTTGACTTAATTGTTTTACCTAAATCTCATTCAAGCTGCCACAGCCTCTTAAAATAACTGTTTCCTCTCAATACTAGGACACTGATCATTCCACATTGTCTTGCCTGGCAGTTTCAACATCACCACTCAATTCTTTGTTGACATCGCTGTTACATTAACATATATTCAAAGAGCAAGCCTGGAAATTACCTCCCTTTTTGTCTTTAGAAATTGCATACAAAAAAAGAAGTAACCAGTCCTTATTGCTGGAATATTAATACGAGGCTACAACACCCATGTCTGTAGGGAAGAAGTCAAGACCACCACCATGATTACATTTTGCCACCAAAGTTGCTAGTTTATTGTGTACCTCATATCCATCCTGTGGAGAGTACCACAACAATATATGGATAAACAAAAGGTCTAGGAACTAGTCATCAAAAGGGTTAACAGGAGTACATCTGGATTTATATCTACAGTTCACTTATCTGTTACAAGTAAATTTAATTAATTTGCTTAATCTTATTTTCATTAATACCTTAACATGGTACATAGGTTATTATACTGTCTATCTCTATATTCCTCAATAAGTGGACAATTAAGCACATAGTATTCAATATAGTGATTATATGGCTGACCAAATACTTGAGAGAAGGAGAGTCTAGAGGTTATTAGCTTAAGAGTAATTAAGAACAGTAGGGAATATTAATATGTTTAAATTAAATATACTTTGACGGAAAGTTTTTTATCTGCCACCTTAAATGTTTAGAAATCGTGTGAATTATATATAAATGTGTGTGTGTGTGTGTGCCTTGTAAAAGTTTAACTCTTGTCCTCTCAGTGGGCCAGATAAGTAATACGGCGTGTAAATAAGCGTATTCTAGCTTGTTTCATAATTCCCAACTAATCCAGCCTGAATATAAAAATTGAAAGATGTTTTCGCCCGTTCTGGGCCATTATTAAGTCCAGGCCAGATTAAAACGTTGTCCAGGTATAATACCTTGTTTGTGTGTTTAGTTATGAATTGTTCCAGCCACGGTACTGAGTTACTCATCTTTTCTAATGCTTTTCAGGAAGAGGCGACGACACTGCCCGCTTGTTATGACCTTCAATATATATTGGACATAAGGAGGTTAGTCAGTTACCATCTGTTAAAGACTTTTGCCAATAAACATGTGGTGTATTTTGTGTATATGGTTGGTTAACTGGGTATATATTCTATACCTATAAGGAGATAAATGTTTGAAGAATTGAGACACTTATGCAACACAAATGTTTGATTAATGAGGCTGAAAGTCTGTCGACTTAACGAGGATCACTGAGGCTTTATACCACCTTATCACCACCAATCAAGAATACTTTAAGTCTCAGTATGGGCCTTTTGGGCCATGCATTGTATATGCACTGTTTCTCTCAATGTATACACATCTTGAGAGGTATACTCATCAGAATATATACAAAGCAACAAAGAAAGAACACAACGAATGAACACTGCAGTAGGACTACTGGCCCATGCTAGCCATATCAAATTCACACCTACTTACGTTCTCGCCCAACCTATATTAAAAGGTACTCAAAGTTCTTGCCTTAACGCTACCTGGGAGACTGTCTCATTCAAATAAACTTTAGTGACAAACCAGTACTTCCCAATATCCTTTCTAAATGTAAATATCTCCAACTTGAAAGCATTGATGTGAGTCCTGTCCGAGTTAGATTTTTTCAAAGTTATTTATATATCCTTTATTTATTCCTGTTTTGAGTTTGTACACCTCAGTCGTATTTCCCCTAATTCCAGACGTTACAAAAGAGTAAACCATACCCCCGGCCGGGATTGAACCCGCGGTCATAGAGTCTCAAAACTCCAGCCCGTCGCGTTAGCCACTAGACCGGCTAGCCACAATAAGATTCATCCAACTAGGTATATTTCTACACCATAGGAAGGTTAGCACAGGCACCTCTGTGACCACAAATGCAAGTTTTTACAGACGAATCTCCAGCTAGCGTGGCCGTGACGAACTCTAGCTCAAGTCCCTTCACTGCCGTCAACATGACTCAAGAAATCGTAATGACACGATGAGACTCTATGACCCCGGGTTCAATCCCGGCCGGGGGTATGGTTTGTTTGCAATCGTGTCATTACGATTTCTTGAGTCAAGTTACAAAAGGGTGTAAGTTCAGCTCCTTCAGCTTATTTTCCCGGGAAAGGTTTCTAAAACATGGAATTAACTTCGTCATCCTCCTCTACATTTGCGAATGTATTCATGTCCCTGGTGAAATATGAAGACCAGCAGTGAGCAGTATAATCTAAAAGTCTAAACAAAGATATATAAAGCTGAATTATATTAATGCATAATACACGGTTTTAGTCATAACTATAAGTTTTGAAGGGGGTGGAGGGGTAAGCCAGTGGAAGGCCTCGGTCAGATGACCAAAAACTCAAGCTGCGGGTCATCATATGACTAAGACCCGCGTCAGGAAACACTTATCCTGTTTCCTAACAAATCTTACCTAACCTATAAAGCGAAAGTATAATACCCTTACAACTTCCATTATTTATACTTCTTGATATGAAAACAAGACAAGAGGGGCAGTGTATCAGTAAGACAGGGAAACATGGCAACACACTGCACTCTTGCCATGACCTTCGACATGTTGAGAAGGCGCCATAATGTGTGTTAAGGCAGGGAGGGGGACAAACCTCGGGGCAGCGGCGCCACACTGTCGCTCTGCTCACACCAAAATAACTGCTACAAATTGATTACTCCTGCCCACCTCTCTTGCACCTCGTCACCTGGACTCCACCGCCTTCCACACGTCTTAAATGTTTTACCCTAAAAGGCAGGTTACCTTAATGCAGGTGAAGGGCCTCTTCCATGGATCGAACCTGATTACCTTCCATTCTCGCCGCTACATGATCCTTACGTGTTTAACTCTCAATAATAATGATTATCGACATGTTTTCGACACATTAACAATGCATCATAGTATTACAAAATAAGTAATTTAAAATTTAATTAGAACAAAAATAGAGACAGTTGTATTGTAAATTAATCGATGATGTGTGTATTATATAATTTTAATTTTTAAAGAGATGGAACGGTCAATGGAAGGTCTAGGTCAATGTCAGAAATCTTTAGTAGCGGGTCATCATATGGCTAAGATCTCACATCAGGAATCAATTGTCCTGTTTCTTGATATATCTTACCTAACCTACCCTACTGCGTGGTATATGCCTCTCGGTGTTTATACATTGAGAATTTACCTTAAGCCCTATTTTAGGGATTAAATGTCTTCTTAATTGGTGACCCCTCGTGTAGTCGATAGGCTTTAATCCCCATTAATCAACCAAGAATGTTATTTGGTAAAACTTGCAGGTTTTAGTTATATTTCTTCTAATTTAAGCAACTTTTAGTTAACCCAAATAAATTACGAAAACATTTATATATTACAGACAAATTGAGTACATCAAGGCAGTATATCAAGTCAGCAACATGGAAAATACATTTCTAAGTGTAGAAGTTATACATACTCGTACGCTTTTACTGACCCCATCCGTCCCTAAACATATCTAATGTAATTAGGGTCTTTATGTCCCAAACTGGTTTAGCGCTCTCTTGTGATAATAATAATAATGTTATTACGAATTAGCCTTCCTGGACGGGCGTCCCTCACTCCCTCCAGGAATATCTAGACGCACTCTACCTACCACTTCTCACAGCTGACAAATGTTGCTCTCCGCTGCATCCTACCTAGCCTACTTAAGTATAAAAGCGGATATGTATGTATAGGTAGTAGGTTGGTAGACAGCAACCGCCCAGGGAGGTACTACCGTCCTGCCAAGTGAGTGTAAAACGAAAGCCTGTAATTGTTTTACATGATGGTAGGATTGCTGGTGTCCTTTTTTCTGTCTCATGAACATGCAAGATTTCAGGTACGTCTTGCTACTTCTACTTACACTTAGGTCACACTACACATACATGTACAAGCACATATATACACACCCCTCTGGGTTTTCTTCTATTTTCTTTCTAGTTCTTATTCTTGTTTATTTCCTCTTATCTCCATGGGGAAGTGGAACAGAATTCTTCCTCCGTAAGCCATGCGTGTTGTAAGAGGCAACTAAAATGCCGGGAGCAAGGGGCTAGTAACCTCTTCTCCTGTATATATTACTAAATGTAAAAGGAGAAACTTTCGTTTTTCCTTTTGGGCCACCCCGCCTCGGTGGGATACGGCCGGTGTGTTGAAAGATGTATGGTTTAATCGAAATCACACACATCAAACTTCTGGATATCACGAAAAGACAAACACGAATCATTGAAAAAAATCATATACATATGATAATGCTAAGCCCTAGTATATGTAAATTCTGTGTATTCTTGCCTTTAATATGAATTTTTTTAAAAGGGTGGACGGGTAAACCAGTGGAAGGCCTCGGTCAGATGACCAAAAGCTCCAGTGACGGGGTGGACGGGTAAGCCAGTGGAAGGCCTCGATCAGATGACCAAAAGCTAGTGGCGGGTCATTATATGGCTTAGACCCGCGTCAGGAAACATTTGTCCTGTTTCCTGACGAATGTTACCTAACTTAACTTTATGGTGCAAGTATACACCAACGGGTGGCCGAAAGATTTAGTCCCTCGTCGGGGCTCTGTCCTGACGATTATTATAACAACAGTTATGGTGCAAGCTTTTATAAAGAGCTTAAACGTTATCACAGAAACAAGTAATGAAAATTCAAGTAAGATCTGAAACACGGTCATCGACTGAGCTCACGATTTGGAAATGGCTAATCTGTCATATGTTGTATACACACAAACATCACACAAAACAGGCCAAGTGTCTATCGACAAATACCTTTGACCACTAGTAACTACACACACACACACACACACGTCAATACATATGAAAGGAATTAACACAGTGAACAGGGACAGTATGTTTCAGGGATGGGAAATAGGAAGGACACAGATGGTAGTTGAAAACTCAAATGAATCAGAGGGATGTTAGGAAGCATTTCTTCAGCGTTAGAATTGTCAGGAAGTGAAACAATCTAGAGTGAGGTGGCAGAGGCGGGATCCATACATAGCTTTAAGAAGAGGTATAACAAGGCTCATGTAACCGGGAGTGGACCTAGTAGCGACCAGCGAAGAGGCGGGGCCAAGAGCTGTGAATCGACCCATGCAACCACGTATAGATGACTGTTCTCTCTCTCAGCAGGTAATCACAATGATAATGTCTCTAAACGACAGGGAAATCACCGTAACTGCTGAGGTTCCATCCTGACAGTAATTACGTGTCTGAAATTTCATATATGAGTGTGTTGGAGTTCAGCTCTAGCTCTTGGTCTTGTCTCTAAGATTGCTAAGGTGACTAGGAATTGCTCCTCCCCTCCCCTCTCCCCCTCGAAAATACAAATCTACACGTTTTCAAGCCTCTCCGGGTTTAGTTAAGCAATAAATTTACCGCAAAGAAAAAATAAATCACAGGAATTTGGTATCGACACAGCCAGTCTGGAGCCTTCACCTGTGAAGCTTCCGGGAGGGAGAGGAGGGGGAGGGCTTGATACCGGTGGAGGGCTCTTGATCCAAGGAATTTGGAGTGCAACAAAAATAAAAAGATGCGAAACTTGATTTAAAACTCGAAATAATTTCTTTGGGCGAAAATCTGTGTCATTCGAAGAACAACATAAGTACAAGGTCGGTGGGTTGGTTAATGGAGTTTAAAGCCTACCAAGTACACGAGGGTCATTAAAGCTGTACGTAACATATTCACTACCAGTCAAGAGTACTGCTTAAATTCCTTTAAGGAATTAAAGTGACATCTTAGTGTACATACCCAAGTTGTATACAACTCTCCGTGCCCGTCTTAATACGCATATTCCTTTCATTTCCCTATCACTGATTTTACTCATAATCTATGTATTTGCTAGTGTTAGTATAATATGCATAATTAAAATCCATGTATTCTTATATTTTACACATTTGCAGAATATTTGGATAATGTTACAATAGTGGCCCTGCGTGACTGCCGTGTCTTCTTTGTATTGGACTGATGAAGTCACTGTGTGGCGAAACGTTTCCTCAATAAAGATTCCCATATGTTGCATAAGTGTCTCAATCTTCAAATTGTCGGTTTTCAAAACCATTCATCACAACTGTCAGACACTGCAGCATCATGGGATCTTCATACAAAGAATTCTTCAAAACTTGTCCAACCTTTGGACGAAGACCTACTTCGACTAGTGGATGGTACCACTATGACCCTGCCTCCTCCTGCTTCGCCTCACCTGACTACAGTATATAAGCCACGTCTACGGCCCTATGTTGTGTGTATTACTATAATTGGTTATAAATAACCATTATTTTTAAACGGGTGGACCGGTAAGCCAGCGGAAGGCCTCGGTCAGATGACTAAAGCTCCAAAGGCGGGTCATCAGCTAAGACCCGCGTCAGGAAACACTTGTCCTGTTTCCTGACGAACCTTACCTAACCTAACCCTGTGCTGTACATTCTATAAGACTGATGGCCTGAACACATCGACTCCAGGCTGAGGGACTGATTACCTCAAACTCCTCCTCTCCTTTCACCTTTCTGCTTTGTATTGGACTGATGAAGCCACTCTGTGGCGAAACGTTTCCTCTATAAAGATTCCTATATGTTGCCTAAGGATAGCAACTCTTAGCCTGTAAACTCATTTATATAAAAAAAAATTACTAACTAGCCAACCTACCATCTCGGCGATAGGAGACATACACCAAGGAGGTGTATATCTCTTATCGTATACACTGATAGTCTACTTTAACCCCTTTTATAGTAGTTAAAGCATTCTGAACTTGTGGTGTACTGGAGAAATGCAGTTTTTGATAATACTCCCGCGGTCAATAGGTTATTAACCTGATAAACCTAATCCCTCATTGGTGGAAAAGGGTTCAGATTCTGCACTGTGCACGATGTAAGAAGTGTCAGGTGTACTGTGCTGCTGTACAAATGGCATTGTACTCCTTTGGGCTAGAGTTGAGCATCGCATTGTATTGGAACAAACAGATGCGTTTTTTAAAAGACTAACCATTTTTTTGCTGGAGGGAAGCACTCAGTCTGAGTAGTCTATTGTGTTCTAAGGTCCACACGTATATATTTTCTCTCTCTCTCTGCTACTCTCACCCCTCAAGGAAGGTTCCTTGATGTTGGTGAGGGGCTCTTGATTTAGGGAATTGGATCTGTGCTCCAGTTTCCCGAATTAAGCCTGAATGCCTTCCACATCCCCCCCCCCAGGCGCTGTATAATCCTCTGGGTTTAGCGCTTCCCCCTTGATTATAATAATAATAATAATCTGCTACTCTCATAAATCCACAGGATACGTAAGTATAAAATAATAGATAAAATGTATATACGAAAGAGAGAGAGAAGGAAGGACGCTACATATGTGACTGAATAAGAGAGAATAGCAGAGTTTGTAACGAAGGTTACAGCTTTAAGTTTGATGGTATGTGTGTGTAGTAACCTAGTTGTGTTTACAGGGGTCAGGTTTCAGCTTTTGGCCACATTTTTTGACTACATGAGACTTGTTGGGTGAGCGTCACTCTCTAGTTGCAACCATCACTACACGTAACACTGCCATATTAACTACGATCACTGCTGCAGGGATTACAGAGGTACATAATGGGTCCTTGGACCTATTATGTACCTCTGTAATCTTTTGACTACAGCCCACAGGATGGGTATGGGGTGCATAATAAATATATTAAACTAAACTAACTGCTGCAAGAAGGCTGACTGGCAGCTCCTCCAAGACAAGAATAAACTGCAACTAGGCGACTAGGGAATGTTATATTTGGTCTTGAATAGTTTTTAAAACCACTTAGGACTTTATAATGGTCCAGCACAGACTTAATAGAACATCGTCTAAAGCTTCTTCTCCAAGTTGTGAGTTATTATGTAAATAAAACAGGTAACGTTTTTGGGTCTCACATAATTTGAAACTCTGACAATGACTGTACTTAATAACTTTTGTAATATTTAACCTAGGATAACCCACTGCAAACTGTGACATTTCTATTTTTCGAATTTCTCCAGCTACGATACTATTTATTTTTTCAAGTATAACAACAAAAGAAACACAGAGCACATGGAACACTACATCACAGACAACACAATAAAACTTATCACAGGCAACACCGTACTACACAACCAAATAAACTCCAGGAAAATCACCCCAAAAATACACATCCACGCCATCTATTAGGTAGCAGCAGTGTGCTGCTACTGTACTTTATACGGTAATTACATAATGGGAACCAAAAAGTAATGTTTTCGTATTATTCTCCAGTTACATAGTGTGGATAGCTTTGATTGTAGTGAAGTCTGTCAGCCTAAGCTCGGAGACTTGGTTGGGTAACGAGGAGGTCATCATTCATGCCACCAATTGTTACTGTTGGAAATTATCATCTCAAGATGGCCTGGCGGTGAGGGAGAAAGATGACTTTAAGCTGGAGTGATCGGCCAGCAAATACTGACTCGTTATGGGAATCATCATCTGAGAAACGTTAGGAAACAGTCCTGTTTCCTGACGAACAAAGCAGCACCACCGAGTGTAAAGTCTGTGGAGTGTAAGGTATTGAGAAGAATGGAGGAGAGAAGGTAAACTGCTGAGGAACGAAGAATAAGAGGAAGCAGGTGGAAGGGATGGTTCCCTGGGGCGTCTTCTGCAGTTCCTATTCTCGTAAACATATCAACACTGGAATGTTTGTTGTATATAATATATGACACCGCCAAAGGATTTCTTTCAAAAGAAATTTTTCGTTCGGTGTATTTGTGCACTTGTTTTCGAATATTGTAATAATAACACTTATAATAATAATAATAGCAATAATGTACAGTATACCTTGGTATATTCACAACTGCCTTAAATGAAATTGTGAATATTGTTTATTATCGAATACGTTACTGACTCTTCAAACTTTTGATTTAAACTTTCCTATAATATTTCCTCAACATACTGCAGAGAGAGAGAGAGTGGACCTAATAGTGACCAGCGAAGAGGCGGAACCAGGAGCTGTGACTCGACCCCTGCAGCCACTTATAAGTAAGTATATAGATGAATACGCACACACACACACCTTCCCCCCTCCCATTCAGGGAGGGGGGAAGGTCCCATGACGTGGTGAAGAGCTCATGATCCGAAGAATTAGACCTGTTTACTTTCTCAGATTGATTCTCCTGACCCTTCCCCAGCCCTTCCCTTGTATGTTCCAGTTCCTTGGTTAAGGGAAAAGGGATCGTTGTCCATCCCATTCCGTTGAGGCCCTCAGTGGTGGTGGTGTTTGTCGTGGGAATTGGAGCATCTGGGGATGCGCTGAGCTGCCCTCCGGTGCTCCGGTGGGAGATTTCGTGTCTCCTTAGGTGACAGGGGTAACCCTGGAGGCTGCCTGTCGGTTCCGGGAGGCGGGGGCCGGGGTGGCTTGGTGGATGCGAGGCTGCCGTCATGGATTGCTGGTTTATTGGCATAAACTTGCCATAAAGGATAGAGTAGCATCGGTACTACATTGTTGCAACAAGGGACGTGGAGGAGGAATATACCATCCCTTTTTTGTTTCTCTGAGCTACGCCTTTTCCAACTCCCCCCCCGCTCCCACCTTTTTAACAACAACAACGTGGATAGTCTAAGTCATCATCTGCCTCCTCCCGGGCCCCTTATTCTCTCAATACCCTCACCTGACCCCGGCTCGCCCACGGACCTTTCCTCAAACTCCGTACCTCTTTGGGGCAACACCTCGTTAACTTCGGTGCCGGTGTTCCGGCTGATAATTTTAATACCTCTGACCTTCGCTCTACCTTGACCATGCTCCCGGCTTCTCCCATGACGGCACGTCGATTTTCGAGTCGATCGCATGTCACAAGACAGATTGTCTCGACGCTAGCGTCCAAACGACCTGGACCCATACTTGATGATCCAGATGATGTTAGACATTCCTTCTCGCTCTAACCCAAAGAAACGCATTGCGTGGAAACCTATTTCCCTCCACTCTATATTTCAAAGCCTTTTTTTCGGTCAACCACACCCACTGCTTGCTTTATGAAGCATGTAGGACAAAATGTGTTCTTTCATAGTCCTCAAGTGTGGGATACACATTATCGCTTTGAAGGACGCTGAGCAAGCTGATGATTTTTCCTCCAATCTATTGACGGTATTTCTGTCACAATACACATATTCCTTTCTCAGTTCTAGCTGTAGTTCTATCCTCATCCCGCATACCATTACCCAACAAGACTTTCTGCATGTGACCCGGACATTTAGGTAAAACTTTATCTCTAAAACCTTTCAGTCATTAAAGTGGAAACTTATGTCAACCTTGCCGGGAGTTGCCAGGAGCTATAACCTTCCAGTTGTATCAGACCAACGTTTACAAGTGCAGGAGTTGTTCCCGTCACCTCAACATTGCAGACATTGTTGGTGCTTTGGCCACTCGGCCAAATATTGACGATCACCGACAGAATGCCTGGTCTGCAGTGCAGCAGATCATAATAATCCATCCTGAGGCTTGCCTCCCACTGATCTTAATTACGGTAAAGCTCACCCTGCATATTCCGCCGATGCCCTCTTTAGCTGAGAGAACGTGAAATCCGTTGTCTTAAGGAAAGGGAGGGCCCTGCCTACGCTATGGTAGTGATTCAACTCCTTCTTCAGTGAGGATTTTCATGCTACTACTCCAGAGTGGCTTGGCGCCCTCAGGTCCCTGTTGTACCCTCCACAGCTACCCCTTTGTTCAGCCCTCACCTTTGACGTTCCCACCTCTTCCTTTGCTTCCCTTGTTCTCCTCCCACACAGCCTTTCCCGGCTATGCCTTCATTTCTTCCTTCGAAACCTCAAAGGTCAAAAAAAAAAAACCATTACCAAAACTCCCCTCCACCCTCTTGCTCCTCCCCCCTCCAAGTTCACCCTGCATCTTACCATTCTTTTTCTCCCTGGAAAGTCTCAATGATTCATGTTTGCTCTTCTCCGCTTCCATGTGTGAAAGAGCTCACTTACTCGCTAGAACTTCGCACTCGCTCTTTATTGATCACTTCCATTCTCATTCTCATGTTATTACAGTGTACACCGATAGGTCTAAGTCCTCTGAGGGCGTTAGATGTTTAGCCGTTTTCCTAACAAAATCATCCGAGGTCATTTACCAGACTTGGTCAATATTTTCACAGCAGAGTTATAATTAGTTTTCATGGCTGTCATGCAAACAGTGCATTACAGGCTACCCAGAAATTCGACTCCCTTCATCCTGTCTTCTTTCACTATGGTTATGCCGGATTTCTAGTTAACACAAAGGCTGGGTCCCTGGACACGTCAATGTTCTAGGTAATGGCCTCCCAATTTCTCACAGGGGCATTCCTTGCTCAGGTTAGTTTTCACTAATCTCTCGACAACTTCGCAACTAATGACAACAGGGTTGATCTGAGTTGGTCCACAACTATTTATTTTGTGTCAAACCACATTTAGGTTTCTCGCCATCTTCCCACAGTTGTGTTTAGGAGGCTGCACTCTCCCCGTTTACGTATCGGCCACACACACCTCACGGACACCTCATGGAAAAACGCCTAGCGGCGCTCTACGAGGACTGTCTGGTTACTAAATCTTGTTAGACTGTCCAGCCTATCAGTGTGCATGCAGAATTCACTTCCGTTGTGTCTGCAGCCCCGACACATCAACTCTCACTGCCATCCTTGCTGAAGTCCCACCTCTGATGCAAACTTTCTTTGGCTCTTTTTAAGAGACACTAACTTATTGCACCAACTGTGACTTTACTATTCCTCTTGCACTCTCCCCTACCCCCCTCAAACCCATATTCTCGCACACTGTTGCCTTTCACTCCATCACTGTATGACCCTCTCGGGTTTAGCGTTTAATTTTATTATTAGTTGTGATCTATACCTGGAGAGGAATTCGGGGGCCAACGCCCCCGCGGCCTAGTCTGTGGCCAGGCCTCGTGGTTCAGGGTTTGATCAACCAGGCTTTTACTGTTAGCCGCACGCAAACCGCTAGGAGGAGTTGAACAGTCTTGGGCCCCTGACACTTATTGTGTTGTCTCTTAGCGTACTTGTGGAACCCATGCTTTTCATGGGGGGAGATGTTGCATCGTCTGCCGAGTCTTGCTTTCGTAGGGAGTGATTTTCGTGTGCAAATTTGGTACTAATCCCTCTAGGATTTTCCAAGTATTTATTATGATGCATCTTTCTCGCCTGCATTCAAGTTCCTTGACTTGTATTCCCAGTAATTCAGGAGTTTTATCGTACTTATGCGTGCCGTGAAGATTCTCGGTCAGCAATTTCACCTGC